CTGCTTACAACATTTTTCTCTGAGTTTTGTTGTCCCAAAAGGAGGCTTCCTAAAATAGCCTTTAAGTGCCTTTAAAAAGAGAAACAGAAAATAAGAGGAAAAAAAAAACACCCCAAACTCATTCCTTTACTGTGATGTGACCGTCCTCCCAAGACACTGCAATGACCTGAGTTTTGCTGTTAATTTCATTCACTTGTTTGGGCTATGTAGGTCCTGCCTAGAACTGGAATGTCATTATGTAAAGAAATATTTTTTGTTTATATTCTTTAATAGTACCAGTAATGTATATCTTATTCAGCATCGACAATATAATCGGGTAAACCTCACATCATCAAACTCACGTTGTAAAAATTATTTCACTTTTCAAAAAAATGGCATTTAAAAACTTGAATGATGTTAGTTATCTTTTTTTTTTTTTTTTTTTTTTTTTTTTTTGAGACGGAGTCTCGCTCTGTAGCCCAGGCTGGAGTGCAGTGGCCGGATCTCAGCTCACTGCAAGCTCCGCCTCCTGGGTTCACGCCATTCTCCTGCCTCAGCCTCCCGAGTAGCTGGGACTACAGGCGCCCGCCACCTCGCCCGGCTAGTTTTTTGTATTTTTTAGTAGAGACGGGGTTTCACCGTGTTAGCCAGGATAGTCTCGATCTCCTGACCTCGTGATCCACCCGTCTCGGCCTCCCAAAGTGCTGGGATTACAGGCTTGAGCCACCGCGCCCGGCCTGATGTTAGTTATCTTAAAGAAGTATGTAATATATTTTTCTGGCTATCAGCTCCATTTGTTACAACCAACTACAGATTATAAATTGGTTGATCAAAACTCTAAGAACAGAAAACCAGAAGCCGCAGCATATGAGGAAATCTGGAACAGCACAGAACTCCAAACCTGAGCGTAGACCACCACCAGAGAAGCCAGGTGCTGGGAAAAAGCACTGTGTGTTCCTCCACCTGACATTGTTCTATGCCTGAGAGCACTCACTCCCCATCACAGTCTCTTTTTGCCACCAGGGGTCTAATCCCTAATTTACAGATAAATTATTTCTAATTTACAACAGAAAGATGTCATGTCTGCAAAATTGCTTATGCATTTCTGAAAATTACAAAACTACTCTTACTAGTTACTCGTGGCACATGTGGATTATTTATACGTGATACATTCGGGAACCAAGGAATTCCTAAGCACAGGAAGCTCAATTCACTGAAATGTAGAATCGTTACAAAGCACATGTCAGATGTGGCTTATTCATTCCAAGCTTGTAGCCTGCGTCAGTCTCCTAGGTGGTTTATTAAAACACAGATGACTAAGCCCCACCCCCAGAGTTTCTGACCCAGTGGGTCTGGGGTAGGGCCTGAGAATCTGCATTTTCACCAAGTTCCTGGTGATGCTGGTGCGGTAACTTCAGGTACTACACCCCAAGCAGGACTGCGTGATTCTGTTTTTTAGGGACAGGGACCACATGATAGTCTTACCCATCTCTAGCCCTGGTGTGGTACCTAACACATAATCACCTCTCAATAACAAATAATAGCAACAAGAAGAAGAACTAACTATTATTTGGTACTAACCATGTGCTACTTCCTGTGTTAAGTGCGAACTTTACAAAGTTTATAACTCTATCAGGTAGACACTGATAGAGTTTTTGTTTGTTTGTTTGTTTGTTTGTTTGTTTTTTGAGATGGAGTCTTGTTCTGTTGCCCAGGCTATAGTGCAGTGGTGTGATCTCGGCTCACTGCAACCTCTGCCTCCTGGTTTCAAGTGATTCTCCTGCCTCAGCCTCCTGAATAGTTGGGACTACAGGCACCTGCCATCGTGCCCAGCTAATTTTTTGTATATTTAGTAGAGACAAGGTTTCATTATGTTAGCCAGGATGGTCTTGATCTCCTGATCTTGTGATCTGCCCAGCTTGGCCTCCCAAAGTGCTGGGATTACAGGCATGAGCCACCGCACCCAGCTGACACTAACTTACATTCCCATTTTATAGAGGGGAAAAATGGAACCTTAGGGAGGTTAAGCAACTGGCCCAAAGTCACACGGTCAGTTTGTGGTGGGCCCCTAGGAAAAAAAAAAGGTTCTTGAGCAATGTTCCCAGGAATATTTAAAAAAAATTGTGTACAAATTCAACAGAAAAGTTTTCAAATTGATATTGAGGGAGAAAAAAACGTTGACCAAACTTGACTTTGCAAACCATACTTTTTCTCAGAAGCTGCTAGATGTTTTCCAGTGAGCCCAGACATGTAGGATACCACCTTCACGGGCATCTCTCAGAACTTCTTCTGGGGAATGCTTTTGCTCCAGCTGAGGCAAACGTCTGTGAGAACCTCTGCATGGTGTCCACAGCTCTCTCTAAAGGGTCCTCAAAGGCAGCGCATGACTTAAAACAGCAGAGCCCCTTTGCAAGCTTTGTCTCATCTGTTTCTTCTAATTTAGCAAAAGAATCTGAACTCCTTGCGGTGATGGTCTTATCTCCTGGCTTCACTGTAAACAATTCAGGATTCCTGCTGTGGCTGCCAAGGAAGGAAACCTGGGAGAGTTCCCAAGGCCCAAGAGCGGCCAGCTCCTGTGCATGGCAGGCAGAGCTAATTCTCCGTCAGTCTACGCATGCCAGGAGAACGCTTTTTCTACGCATGCCAGGAGAATGCTTTGGGACTGTGTCTTGATAGTAAACACCATGCCGTTTAGACAGAATTCCCATTAGCTTTTCCATGGGGGAGCAAATGCGGAAGTTTTCTTCAGATAGCTTGCAGTTTCCCAGCCATCCCCAGCCCTGCCCCCACAGAGTGACAAGAAACAATCACCAAATGGCTGTTGTTCCATCGATCTGTTTATTTCTCTGTCTTGGGGGCGAATGGATCAGGTGCAGGCCTGCTGTGGTGTGTATCAGGCGTTTAGGCAATCCTCAGCCCTGTCTCCCTCTGTGCCTTCCTCCCTCCCCGGAAACTCTTGGGATTCTGTTTCCGCCTCTGAAAAAAAAAAATCAGGGTTCTACTGCTACTGTTTAATTTCCTAGTAAGTGGTTATTGAGAAATTGGAGTGTGACTCCAGGGAAACACTGCGGACTGTGAAAGACTCACGCCTTTGCCAAGCAGACGCTCTGGGCGAGTCGCCTGGGTCACTAACTTTGGCACTTTGGCTGTGTTGCTTTTCTTTGGGGAAGATTTATGGCCAAGTTGTCTTTACTTGCCTGTGTCCTTATCAGGCACAGCAGCAGTAGGAACCACAAGTAAAAGGAGTTAAATTTCTCCACCTTTTACTCATCAGGAGCTTGGTCTTCAGGGTCAGGCTGCCTAGATTCAGATCTGGCTGCACCACTCACTAGCTGCCTGGCCTTGTGTAAGCCACTGCACCACCCTCTGCCTCTGTTTTCTCACGTGAAAAGCGAGGACAATAGTATTATCCAGTTCCTGGGTTCCGTGAAGGTGAAATACTACTGCTTATGAATTGGCACAAAGTAATGCTCCATAATGGCTTGTTGTTATTACAAAAGCTTAAAATCGAAATTAAGGTATCCTCTTAAAAAAGTCCTTGCACATGTTTAGAAGCTGGCGAGGCTGCCACATGTTTTCTTTGCCTACCAGCTACTTACAGTTTACAAGAAGAAATGGGGCCAAACATGGATGGAGAGAAAAGCACCTTGAGTTCTCCTCCCAGGGGTGAAATCAGGTACAGCACTGTCACGAAAGAGCGGATGGTACTGACTGTGGGAAGCTTCCTGGGGTCTGGGTCTGAGGAAGAAAACTGCAAGATAACAAACGATAAGGAGGAAGTAGGAGTGCCTGCTTGCTTTTTATTTTTTTTCCGAATTCAGTTCTTTTAATAGATTGCATATACAGATGTTTAGCCATACTCTTAGATGAACTCTTTAAGAGCAGAACTTTAGATCCAATTTATATGCTCTGGATACCACCTTTCTTCTTTTTTTACAGTAAGGTCTGGTATTCAGACACCCACTTGTACACTGACAGCTTTAAGAAAAGCAGGACACAGAGGGAGTTGTCACTTTTAGCCGTAATGAAATACCACTAACCCCTTTTTACAATACCGAGTTCAAGTCACTGTCAGAGGCTAGCGCACCACAAAGTCACCAGGTACAAAATTGCTAGTTCATTTTTAAATTAATAACTTGAAATTACCCTTGTCCCCCACCCCATTACATCTTTTTATAAACAGCAAACATTTTGCTATTTTATACATAGGCTAGCAGGCTTGTTTCAATATGAAAGTGCTAATTCATTTACAGATTTTTATAATGAGTTATGTAGTGCTACAATAAATGTCCAATAATCTACACAGGAACAATGATGAATGAAAATGATGAGGATTGAATAAGGCTATCATTATCTTATATTATTTACGTATAAAGAATAGATACCCAATGGTGAGGAAGAGACAGAAATTGGGCAAATACTCATAGGTGTAAAAATTACATCTACCTTTTTTTTTTTTTTTTTTTGAGACGGAGTCTCGCTCTGTCTCCCAGGCTGGAGTGCAGTGGCCGGATCTCCGCTCACTGCAAGCTCCGCCTCCCGGGTTTACGCCATTCTCCTGCCTCAGCCTCCCGAATAGCTGGGACCACAGGCGCCGCCACCTCGCCCGGCTAGTTTTTTGTATTTTTTAGTAGAGATGGGGTTTCACCGTGTTAGCCAGGATGGTCTCGATCTCCTGACCTCGTGATCCGCCCGTCTCAGCCTCCCAAAGTGCTGGGATTACAGGCTTGAGCCACCGCACCCGGCCTACATCTGCCTTTGAGTTCATACTGTAAATGAGACGTTTTAAGTAGTCCTGTAGCCCGTGCCTATTTTTTCCTTAGAAAAGGAAAAGCTGCCTGACATCCGCTCTTGTTTCAGATTTCCACAGCTTCCCCTTTGAAGCTTCAGAGTCAGGATCTTACTTTCTTCAAAAAATAAAGAAAATATGCCCCCTGAGTTACCTCCCATCTCCACCCCCCACCCCTACCCCCCATCCCCACCTCCCATCCCCAACCCTCACCCCTACCCCCCGACCAAAATCCGGCTGGTTTCTTTTCCAGTGCCAGGCTGCATGATCAGGTCCCATCTCTGGGGTTGTTGTTTCTTTTTCCATCTATTGATCATTAGTTTAGAATAGATAACATGAACCAGTTCTGGAACCACGACTAGGAGGAACACAAGCTGTTCACTACAGTCACACAGCAGGAAAGAAAGAGAGAACTCAATTCATCCCTGGTACTGGGCCTCCGAAGTTGAAAGAACTTGGCACAAATGGGGCACTGAATTTGTATCCTCCATGCTTCTCAATCATTTTGGATTCATGGGCTGCTCTCCTTTGATCAGTCAGAGTTGCTGTATACGGTAACTGTTTTCTTTGTTCTTCATTAAGACGATGAGTCAGAGCCTGATACCACACAGGATTACGATTTTGAATCGTTCGAAAGATAACTTTAAATGTCTGATGCTCATCAACAGGGTTATCTTCATTATCAATGATTGTGGAATAGCCTTCCAGAAAATTCTCTTCCACATCATCATCTCAATCTTCACCATCTCCATCATCACCAGCCTGCTTAGCCAGAATCTCCAAATATTCTTGCCCATCTTCATCAATATCATCTTCATCACTCCCCAGTTCCTCTGGTCAATGCCACGCCCTTTGCACTGCAGAATGATGACCTCAAACAATTTTGCTGTGTGACACTCTGCATCTTCTCCTGCAACTCCTGTAAAAACCTTTTTGCACAGACTGTATATCATTTCAAGATAATTGGTGTCAGACAGAAGTGTGTCTGTATCAACTGCTACATAGTTATGAAGGAAAGGCATCATATCTGTAAAATAATTAAAGCCATCTTGCTCAAAGACTTCAAATACAAGGTAGCTGCCACATCTGTGGAGACACTTGTTCACATGTCAAACTGTGCGCTAAAGAGAAGATCTCAGAGAATTCTAAGACATGTTGTTGTAAAACAGTACCAATGACCTGTAAGCAGATTCCCTCGAACTGTTGGGTTATCTCTTTATGATCTTCAACTACCCTCAGTGTGTCAATTGTATTAAGAATTCCCATAGCAAATATTTGAGAGAATACCTTTTAGTTTAATGCATAGTTAAATTCATCCTGTAGTGTTCCTGGAGGAGCTAGAGCCTGGTCGTAGGCTACGACTCATCAATTAACTTCTACAGTGGAGACTACTTCTGGGACTGGAATATAAAAAAGAATCAAAGGTTTTGATTGTGAGTTGCAATAAAGGGAAAGACCATGCTCAGAGCAGTGCCAGCATCTGAAGTGTGGAGCCTGACGCATTTCATCACCTACAACGGAAGTAGTTAACTGGAAGAGATCACCAAGAAAATAAAAAGAGACTCATTCAGTGGGGGGGAAAAAAAAAAAGAATTCCCATAGCAGTAACTGCTTTGTCATCACTACCTTCATCATCTGGCCCCGTCTGGATTACTTGGTTAAATGTCATTGCCAAATGTTGTGTCATTTCTACTGCAATAGGAGTAATTTCTTCACTATATTCATGGATCATTTTCTGAATTACATTGGTAAGGTCACCATTTTCTGTTTCTCTTGTAATACAAAAAAGAGCCTGCATGACAGGTCTGATGAATGGCATGGTATATTCTTTAGCTTTTTCTTGATTGCTGATCAATACTTGAAGGGCAATGGCAGCTTCCACTTTCACAAGCATTTCTCTATCATCAATCAGACATCTTCTTGTTAGCTCTAAGGCTGTTTGAAGGTTCTGATCACTTTTGAACTTCACTTCACAAAAATAGTAAAGTACCCAGCAAGCCCTTGCTCTCACGTAGCCTAGTTCACTGCTGAAGAGAGGGAGTACATGAATCTGCAACATGCATTCTGTCTGATCTTTACAGATCTTTTTCTTCAGAAGTATTTCAGCTAAAGAGCCAATCCTATGCAGGGCTCCATCGTTTTTTCGAGGGTCAGCATTTGGTTCTGTAAGAATCTGGTAACAAAATCCCAGTCTTTTGCAGTACCTCTTTCCTCTTACTACAGGCTGTAAACAGAAGTGTCTGGGCAGCAGTGGTAGGAGAAAGGAAATCTTCAAACACATCATACTTTGTGCGTATATATTCGTAAGGGTCTTCTTGCCAAAGTTCCTCGTCGGCATCTGTGCACATCAGTGGAAAAATAACATCTCGGATAATGTCTTGTATACAGGGCTTCAGATTCTTCCAGATGAGAGCATGAGAAACTTCTTGATTAATAAAAATTACAAAGGCAGTGAAGGCCCATTGGGGAATATACAGGAATGTTTAAAGCAGAAAATAAGTCATTTAAAGCTCCTCCACCCAGAGATCATTGTTAATTCCCTAACACATTTCCTGTTTTCAGGCTTTTGAGATAACCTGGGCAGACTCCGGCCATGGGAAAGGAAGGCTCAGGAGCCATGTGAGATGCTGGTGCCGTCCAGCATGGCCCCAGCTAGGAAAGGATGGGCCTGGGGTTCTGGGCACACACAAAGCAATGGGATTTGTCAGAATCATCACCAACCTCCTCTGAGCTGGGGCAGCAGAGTGTTCTAAGCCCCCAGCAACATGTAAATTCACCAAAGAAAGCAGTTACTAGAGTTCATACAGAGAAAGCAACTGATGATAAACTGACTTTTGGTTTTTAAAGATTTGGTGTATTAAAATGTGTTTTTGTTGTCTTTAGTAGTCTACTGACACCACCTTAGAATCTCTCTCATTCATTTCCCATCTGTAAGATGAGGGAGGTAACAGCCACACTTCTTTCTCTGAAGTTACAGACTCCCAGGGAGCAGGTTGCCGAAAGCTCTTTGAGGACACAGTCTAGGTGTAGAGCCCCCCCAGTATCTAACATAACAGAAGGACAAGGTGGATAGAAGGGCAAGGTGCCTCTCCAGGGCAGCTGCAGAGTATCAGACCTTCTCGAAGGAAGGCGGAAGCCCTGATGGGACGCAGTGGTCTCATCTGGGTTCTGGTGAGAGTGGCAGCCCTGGAGGTGAATTTAGTCATGGTCCATCCAACAGGTCTAACTGGACATGGCATTCCACCTCTTCAAAAGCTGAACAGCCCACTTGACAGAAGTTTTCAAGTTTGGTTTAGCAATTCTATATTGTATAGATACTGCTTTTGTCTGCTGTAATAAACGAGGAGTTATAATTACTCCAAGCTTTGTTCTTTTTTTAATGTGTACACTACTTCTACATAATCAATGGTTGGTCCATTTTGTTAGTTTCTTACATTCCTCATAGACTGGTCTGAATGTTTGCAGTGGGATCAGACGTTACTAGCATATTGTCAGATTTTTTTGTCTTATTTTTTTCTATCACAGCCAGCCTGCCTGCCTAGATCTGTAGAACTAAGTCTCATTCAGGTCAAGGATCATGTGCTTGAAAGGAACTGAAACTCATTCACAGGGTGAGAGCGGGTAGTGGCAGACAGGAAACATTAGAGAATGTCAGGGAAGGCAGGGGCTCTCCCCGGTATTTCTCCCAATGGCCCCATTGTCTCTCCTCTCTGACGTGTGTTTCCTTTATCCCCCAGCTCCGGACCTATACTCCCTGTGAGGCTCTTAGTTTCTGCTCCCACATCACATCAGCTTGCATGGAGAGGCAGCCGCACTGGCTCTGGAATTGGTGCTTAATGGCTCAGGGCTCACCTCTTCTGCTTTCTTCAGCAGAGGAGCCTGCAGGCTCCACGTTAGGGAGTTGCATCTCCTAACAGAGAGGGAGGAGCCCCCCTTGACTTAGAGTAGAGAAACTTCCTGTCATTCCTAATGAGAGTCACCTCATTGTCTTGGGAAAAGCAACTTAGGACATTTCAAGCCTCAGTGCAGGGAAAAGGCAAAGGGAAGGCAGGAACGAGGGGGCCTGGGGGGGGTGTACAGCAGATTTCTCCTTTTCCACGCCTCCTTCAGCATACAGAATACAAATGATCTCTTGAGGAGTTATATGGAGCAACCTAAACCACCCCCAGCACCGTTTCTAAAATTCGCCAATTAGATCCAAGTGGTTTAAGGAGCAAGGGAGGATAAGCAGAGTCCTCACTTCACCTAGCGAGAATTTACTAGCCAGGGAATTCTTCCTTGACTTAGGTGAGATTGTCAAGGTTCAAGGGATTGGATGTTTTTGTTGCTCAGGAGCAGGAAGGAGGCAAGAGTTCATTTTGGAGGTGAGGAATAAGGAGGAGGGCAGCCCAAGGAAAGGTACACTTGGAAGGAGTAAAAAGGAATCAGGAGAGAACAGGCATTTTTGTTTTCTCACAAAGCATTGGTAAATCTCCACACAGATAATATGCGCCCATCAATGGTTGCTGATCACTGTTCAGCAACCACTGTTGGGCAAATTTTTTGATCATGGAGCAAAAAATGTTGACTTGTGAGCAAGTTTAACATTTGAAGTTCAAAGACAATGGTACGATAAATTTAAATTGCACAGCAAGGAATAAAAACAGGACAGGCATCAAGTCTGGTACAGCTTCATTTATTTCTTACTTTTGCTACCGAATTGAGTTTGCATCCAAGTGCTCCTCACGCTCCCATTGGCAGAATGATGAGGTAATGAACTAACAGCATTTACAGCAAATGACAGCAGATTGTTCTGTAATTCAGGGGCTAACCTACGTGCCACACAGTGGTCTTTTGATGTCTGTGAATTTCTTCAGGGTGGGTGGGGAAGCTTTTTGCTTGTAGGGGAAGGCTCTGGATGGACTGAGCCTCTGACGTATCAACCGTAAGTCCTGGGGTCCTGGGGCTTTATTCAGAGGAAGAAAGCAGATTCTACAGGCCGCAGTAGAGTGGTCTGTCCCGGAACCAAGCCCTCTGCCCTGAGAATTGGACTCCACGGTGGCCAACTGGACATTGTCCTTGTGCCCGGAGGGGTGACCTACACGTGGGACAGGAAAGGACATTGTGGCTTCGTCACCAGAAATGCTCTGCCAGGTCTGTCCTTCTGGAACTTGCCTAACCTGCTCTGCAAAGGTTTCAAGATATTCTAATGCATCCACTTTAATTTATTCAAACCCCAACGTACAGTCTGATTTTTCTGGCTTCTGGCTAGCTGGGTGACGAGAAGGGTGTTGCTAAGAGGTAAATAAATGATGGAGCAGAGCCACCAGGAAGGTCCATGGGGCCTCCACAACCGCACTGGGCCCCTGGCCCGGAAATCTGCATTCTAACACTCCTCACTGATGTGGACAGGCCTTGTTTTAGAAACAGGACTCCCAGGAGCAAGGGAACCAAAAAGTGTATTTCAGGATAATTTAAACATAAAAAAAGTCCTACCTTATTTAAAAAAACAAAAACCTGCTTACTTCCCTTAAAAAATATGTAGTTAAGGTTAGCCACTTGCACTTATTTGTAGAATAATTGCATTGTGCTTACATTTCTGGCAGGCAAAATGGCATTTTATTACCAATCGGTCTGGCAAGGACACAAGCGATCTAAAACCTTTTTTTTACTTTTTTTTCTCACTCAAGATCAAGTAATGATGGGTTCCACTAAAGTCTTAGTAGAACAGCCCACCCGTGTGACTGCTGAAAACTGGGTGACAAACTCTGCACGGGGGTAGGTGACCCGCTCTGTTGTTGTCACCCTGGGACACCGCACCATCTGTTTGTTGAGTTCCTCTGATGGGCTGACTTCTGAGGATCCTGTGCTTTAACGAAGTGGCTTCTGCAGCATAGGCTTTAAATCCAAAGTCCGGGTGGCGTGGGCTGAAAAAAGGAACTGTCCGGACTCTGGTGCTAGTGTCGGGTGGGTTTCCACAGCCCACGCTGAATGCTGGGGGTCAGCGGAGCAGCCAGGCATCAAAGACCGAGTGCAGAGTCTGTCCCACGTGGGCGGGAGGGAAAGGGAATCCCAGATCTGACTTTCATCCTTCAATTCCCATGCGCGATTTTCTCTAACTTCCGTGTTTCAGGATGGAAAAAAAATTGCCAAAACACACAGAACAAGGCTAGTCCAGAGAATTGTTGAGGATGTGACAGGAAGTTTAAACTTAAAGTTCTTATGGCCCTCGACGTTCTGGAGTTAGAGGAGGGGAGAAGGTGCTCTGCAGAGCTGAGGTTTGCTGGAGGCCTAATCCTGAAATTAGTAGGGACTGGTTTGTTATTTGGCTGAATCACCTGCCTGATGCCTGCCTGAAGTCAGAGGAGATGGGCAGGGCCACCCTGTGTATGGAATCAAAGGAAGAGCTAGTGGCTTCTGGTTCCTGGCCAGGTTTCTGTCTGTGTCTGCTTTAAATAGGCTCTGTACACCCAAAGGCTGTATGACGGACACATATTTATTATTCAGGACGTAAGACAAACTTTCGCCTGGCATAAGCCCACCGTGTGGCCAAGGCCTGCCTCAGTCCTTGTATGGTGAGTGCTGCTGTGCCTGCTGCCCACGTCCCCTGGGCTGAAGACCTGTGCCATGGCTCTGGGGCAAGGGTGGGGATTAAAAACCTTAGGACCTCACAGGACCCTGGGGTCCCAGCCTTCAGTTGCCTGTACTGCTCCCCAATGGAAAAATTCACCTGGCAGTCCCTCCAAGTCCTCTGTGGGTTAGGGAGGTGCAGAGAGGTGGGTGAGGTAGCCAGGAGGCTACTACACTCTGCCCCTTTCTTCAGGATGTTTTCTTTCTGCCCGGAGTGGTGGTGAACACACAGGCTGACCTCATGCCTGTATTGCAGGGTCTGTCTGGGCTGGGGCAGGTTTGCACCCTGCCGGGGTGCTCGGCACCTTGTGTGAAGGGGATCAGTCAGGGCAATCACCTGCACCCCGGAGTCCACCCTGGAAGCCAGGGCTGGCACATGGCTCCACACACACAGCCAGCGGGACTAGGACTAAGTGAGCAGAGCCCAGTTCTTCTCGTTCCCAGTGTGAGCGGACGTGGGCGCCTCCCTGTAACTGGATCAAAAGGAGACTGCTTGGCAAATACAAATGAAAGCACAGTCTAGGACCCAGCCGACTGGAGAGAAGGCATGAATCAGAGAAGAGAAAAAATGGGAAGAGGTCAGAGATAAAGGCAAAGCAGAGTTGATGAGAGCTGTAGAGGTACGTGGGAGGAATAGTCAGTGTTCTGATTTATTGACTACCTTTCAACTCACTGTTTAGTGTCATGGGAACAAGGCGTTTATCAGACAAGATCAGAAGTTTAAAGGTGGCCAGCTTTATGGGGTTAATAACTCCGTGTCCATGTTCCCTAAGTGAAGTGAATAGCTCTTTGTGCTGATAGCATGCTGAAGGATTC